ATCTTGTTTTGCTTATACTAGGTGCTTAATAATATTTACTCACTGGTTGCTTCCCTATTAGCTACCTTTTCTTTAATCTCTTTTTAGGGCAATCTAATCAAAATGTTATACTCTTAATACTACTACCATGCTACATATACGCGAGTTGTAATTTTTTTTCAAACTATGTGTCTAGTATCACGGCTTTGAAATTTTCTCTCTGTCTGGTGCACACCTATATTCTTCCAACTGAATTTACTGAAATGTCGCGTGTGTGTGGCGGGTTGGCAAAGGCAATATTGTGCAGAGGCAATGATAGTGAAGTAAATTCTAATAAGGAATAAAAACGTGAGCTTTCTATGGAGATACCTCGCTATATATGATTTTATTTCCAAATACGATGCTTTCGTCTATGCTTGTAGAGATTCTGTTTGAATGTTTTCAAGATCTTTTTCTCTCTTCTGTTCCTAAAAGTTCAGTGTACGATCTCCAGCTCAATAAAAAGATTACTCATTTGGTGGAGACATAATACATTCTGTGTAGACTCACACTTCTTAGAATGCCTCGGTCCCAGGGAGAAGTCACAAGTATATTAATGGCCTACTTTTCCTATACCAAGAGAATCAATTTCCCCTTTGTTTCTAAGGAAAATCATTTTGAGGGTACTCACCACTATGTGGTAAGTGGCACTATAAAAACACTTTGGGGCTTCAGAAGAGAGAATACTGGTTTTAAAGTTATTTGTTCCATGCTGTCTAAGTTTATCCCTCTAAAGCTATATTCAGTTTTGGAATGCCACTTCTGCTTTTTGTTTCCCTAACAATCCATGTAAATGTTTCTACATACGATCTTAATGATCACCAAGCGGTAAAGGAACAGCAGTAAGTTGTGTTTTTAGCTGCTGATTCACCTCACTCTTGATTCTGTATTTTCTGGACTTGCCAAGTGTAACCCAGGAGCTGATTTCCTGATTCCTATCACTCTTCTACTGTCTGGCAGAACTTGCCTTTCAACGCTTGGGACTTGAAGAAACATTTGAGTGGGATGGTGAGTCTACCAAGATATTTGCTCGAGACTCTTAAGGAATCCTACACAAGGATGTCTTGGAACCAGATTGTAAGTGAACAAAGTGAAAACCTGTTCCTCTCTTGTGGTTATTTCAGCCTTTTCTATTTTTAAAGTAACCTTCACATATGGTACCTCCATATAAATCTAAATAGATTCCATATTGATGTATGCATGATTTGAGCTTACTTTTCATGATACAGCATAGTGATAAATTCACGCTTAATTCTGCTGGCTTTTCAGATTGTTTTAGCAGGAAGGGGCTACTATATTCTAACAGAATTGCTCTATCATGTTAATGTATGCATTTAACTATCAATATATACACTATTATATTCCTAGCACATTCTATTAATTATGGAAATCACTTTCATTTCAATAGTGGAATTTACATGCCAACAGCTTCTGGGGCTCAGTGGAGCATCAGACCAGCATGTCACAGAACTCCCTTGTAGTGTGGGCGTTGACAGGGTTCTGTTGACATCACATTTGCAATGAAAATGTCTCATAAATGTGCACCCACATAGAACATTACTTATTTCAGTATTCACATAGGTCATGAATGTCAGAGATGAAAAGTTTCCTCACACTTACATTACTAAAATAAATTATTGGGAATATATAATCACACACATACATATGAATGACCTGAAAGATGTGTCTTAAATATTTAGAAAAGATGTCCAGATATAAAACTGTCACCTTTGGGTTCTCTCCTGTAACTCTATAGTGCTTTTGTATTTTACAAGTCCTGTATAAAGGGTGGATGAAGACTGTAAATCAGGCAAGAGAATGGACTGGTCCAGAGGGGTTATAATAGGGGATAAGTAACAAGATCAAATGGGACCAGAGGAACATTAGGCTGAATATCACAACAAAGTTTTTGATAGGGAAAACTATTACACTGTGAAATAGTCTTTCAAGGGTGCTAGGAGAAGTCATTACGTGAGCCATTTAAAATCAGACTGCACTGAAGTACTCCAAAATACGGTGTGCTATGGGGACCAAGCCTACATTAGAAGAAGAAGGAGGGGGGTGACCTAAGAGTTTCTACCTTCTCCATGACGACTATGATTGTACTCATTTTATGTGTACAGTCTTGGTGGATAATCTTCTGCAATTTTATGCTACTTCTTGGGAGCAATTTCAACAAATTCATGTAATGCAGAATTTAGCAGAGTCTCTGGAGAGACAAAAATGCACACTAAACTGAGTGTAAAATAGCAAAGTGAGACAACTATGGGTAAACATTACTACTTCTTTGGGGAGTAAACCCTGGAGAAAACAAGTCTTACCCTGGAACTCGGGCCGTATTCACACATGCATAAAGGCATACTGAGATTAGGTAGTAATTTTCTTTTGTTTAATGGTATCTTGGGACCATGTTGAGTGCAGGACAACAAAATGAAACATTTCATCCCCAAGATAACGGACTATATTTTGGCAGGAGGTAGCTACAACCCTGGAGAAAGAAATCAAGGACCATATCGTGACTGATATCTATTAGAATGGACAAGAAAGAGAAAATGGTTTAATTTGATAAAAAGAGCTTGACATAAAAGGAGAAAGAGAAAAAGTGACCCAGGGAAGTTGTAAAACTGTGATTGCTGGGAACCTTTCAAGATAAGACTGTCCCCACTCTGTATGGTTCTGGTTGATCACCTGTCATGAAGTAGAGAAGTGAGACAGGTGACCTTTTGCCAATTATCCTAGTTCTTTCATTCAATAAAAATATTAATTTAAGTTTGATAAAAAATCACTGCATTTTATGCTATCTTTGCATTTGTTTAACTTAGCAATTTTAATTGCAGTGACATAAAATCAGAGGTGGGCTCATTTTGATGTTTGGTAATTGTAGGGGTAAATCATCTGACTTCCCCTCGTTTCTTTTCAAGTGTACACTGCAACTTTTAAAAAAGACCATAGGATATATTTTCATTATTTATAATATCTTCTTTTTTGGTAGCCTTCCATACCTTTTCTCAATGTATTGATTAGATATTTCTGAAGTCTGACAAATTCCATTCAATTAAATCAAGGGGTGACTCTCTCTCCCTGTCTCCAAATTTAATCTATTCCTTGTGTTGGCATACTTTTCTGCAAGTTGAGTTTCACATTTCCTTGGCGTGGATCTAGCTCACAGAACAAGAGGTTTTATGAGTAGGGTTTTGTTTTGGGGGGGAGGGGCTTATCAATTCTAAAAGTTATTTATACCATTTATCATTCTCTTTAGCCCAATGAATGTAGATACTGTGAAATTTTCATTGTCTTATTTGTGAAAATATAAATTTCAAGACTTCTCCTGTTTGCATCCTGAGCACCTGTGTTACTCTGAACAGAAATCGAGGCAGCCTTAGGGCAGGTCTATTCAAAATGCCCAGGTACCTCCTGCTGGGTGATCAGAACTTGAAAGGATGAACAGCTAAAACCTACAGGTGTGAGAAATCTCTGTAAGTACCAGACACTCACATGATGGAAGGGAATAGATCAGTTTATTAAAGTCTGGTGTATAATACTTCCAAAATCTATTCAAATTCTTTTGGGCTGTTTTGAGGAAAATGTGCATAGCACTATAGAAGTATTAACAAATAGAGTATCCTAAACACCTTTGGTAGGAAGTGTGTAATCTACCTGAGTTTAGGGTATTGGCAGTCTAAATGGTTTTGTCATGCCTATATTACATATATTTACATGAACAATTAGAGTCCAGGTAACAGCCTTAAAATATGTGATCAGATAATCCAAAGCAGACTTAAATTTAGGAAAATGAATAATATATCTCTACAAATCGATGCTTTTTTTTCTTCCAAAGAAACACAACATAGCGCTAATGAACACTTCTAAGATCATGTAGCACAGATAAATTTAAGGCAAGAAACTTAAAGTAATGAAGTGCTTCTGAGATCCTTAACTCACAGTAATCTCAGCTTTGACTATACTGATATGTAACTATCTCGCTGTGTAGGTCAAACATATCACTATTCAAATAACAGTATAAATAACTTTATTAGTAAATTAGCTGAGCACTTGAGCACAGACCATTAGAAGTATACAGTTTTATTGTTTGTTATTAAAATTCACAATGCTTTGAAATACTTAAAAGGCAGGGGCATGTCCCCTTAAGATATCTACCTGAGAGTGCTACACCTTTGGGAATCTACGTTTGCTAATCCAGGGAAGGAACTAGAAGGAAATCTAAATGAAATCCTTAAGAAACCAGCTTATTGGATCTATTTCCTAGTCTATTTCTGGATCGCGAATCTCCCGCCCTCTCTGTGTTATCTCACTGTCAGATAAGAAACTGGAACAGGATCGATGAAGAGATAGGCTCCCCGTCTGGCTTTTCGATTTTTTCGCTCAAGCCAAAAGGAGCAAAGGACATCGAGTTAGGGATCCTTGCCAAACCTGCTTGCAGGAGAGCAAACCTCTGGCCGCCTCTGGCAGCAGAGCGCCTCCCAGAAGCGGCGAGGACCAGGTCCCACTGACCGCTGCCCACCTCGCCTGGCAGCCTCGCACCCACAGGAAACCGCCCTTGTGGCAGCCAGTCGTCTCAGGGTTTCCAGTGCACAAAGCGTACGGAATCCCCGATTAGAAACCTATCCTGAGCCCAGGGCAGGGCTGGAGGTGGTTGGCTCATGAGACTGCTCTCCCTGGGCGTCTGCGAGCGCTAGTTAGTCCCTCCACCTCTCCAGCCCTGGGCACCCTGACCGCAGATCTGTGCCCTGAGCTCTGCCTCCCTCCCGGAGACATAGACGAGCGCGCGCACACACAAACTCTCACTCACGCACACCCACCTTGCCTCTGGCCCCCATCCTTCCCACCCCCGGCAGAACGGTAGGGACTGGTCCGGGCTCTGCCTCAACTTTCCCGGCTGAGCCTGCGCCACGCGGCACCCGAGCCTCCGCGCCCTCACTGGGCGCCCTCCAGAGGGGCACGTCCTCCTCTGGGCCCCTTACCTCGAACCGCCAACTCCCGGCAGGGACTGGAGCTGACCGTGGTGGCAGCGGCGGCGGCCGAGCCTGCACCCGGGCTCTGGCTCATGGTTGGTCCTCCTCATTCGACACAAAAGAGGTAGCTTGCTGGCTTTGTCCTTTCCCAATCCAAGGGAGAACTTATTTTGCCCCCGAAACGGCCAACTTGTGCGCGCCGCTTCCTGTCACAGTGCCCCCTGCCCCCGCCCCCTCCAGGCTGCGTGCTGGACCACTGCCTGGTGGTAGAGCATCCAGGCTTCCGAGTCAGTGGGGAGTGGGAAAAGGGAGGGTGGGAGGAGAAGAGAGGCAGGAGGTTGGGAAAAGGGGGGACCCAGTGGTCTTCCGAGGAGGGGAGGGGAGCAGTTCCCAGCTGAGTGCCTCTCCTCTGTACAGGCAAACCCACTTCCCAGGCTTGGAAGCAACTTTCCTTCACCTTGGCCGGGCTGAATTCTTCGCATCTAATTGGGACTCTCGGCAGAGGCACGGACCTTCTGGCATTCTCTCCTCATTTTCTCTTTCTCCTTTCCTCCCTTTCCCTCTTCCTCCCTCCCTTAACAGGGGTGTATCTGCAGAGTCTTCAGTGAGCCAGGGTACCTAGACGAGCAGATTATTATACAGAAAGCCAGGGCGGTTTTGCTGGCGGCTTCACGTCTGTTTGAAAGCCTTAGGCAGTGCCTGCAAAGGCTGGTGAATTTCGGAGGGGTTGGGTGAAGGGGAGTGGGGCGGCAGGGAGGTCGTCGGCTCTAACTTTGAAGCTCTGCTAGAGCCCTTGGCCTGCGGGGGAACCTGGACTGTCAGCCCTGGAAGAACTCTTCTATGGTCCCCGAGCAACCGGAGGACCGCATGCTGGAGGAGAAAGAGGGAGCGAGCCTGCGAGGCCGATGTGCAGCTCTGCCCCGCACGCTGCTCAGCTGCACATTGCGAGCCCCTGGAGAGGGCTTGTGCAGAACAATCTCTGGGTCAGGCGGGAGGGGGACGCTCCTGTTTCCTAGCAACCCTCATCAATCTTCTCGGGGTATCTCCCTCTGAAGGAATTCGATTGGACAGCCCCTGGAGGGAAGCCACGCCCCTTCAAGAATGCTGGGCTGCTGCTTTTTCGCATTCTCCCAAATTTCTTGGGTGGAATAAGATTACAGGGGAGTGCTGTATAATCTTCCCTCTTATCATGCGATGTTGCCACACCGCCCGCTTGCAACGACCCTACCGCCCTTCCCCCCCCCATTAGTCCTTTTCTAGTCCTACTTGTGGTTAGCAGGCACAATGCTTTCTACAGAACATCTTCTTTCTTCTTAAAATTAAATAAATAAAAAGCTTAAATCGGTGACGTAGGCACAAAAGAGAAAAAGGCACACGGAAATAGCCTTAATAGGCTCCGAGCTGCAGATAAAATCCTATAGGTAAAATTCCAGGCATCTTTCTCTGTTTAGAAATACATTGTGTTTAATTTCAGAATCAAAACTTCACTGTCATTAATTTTTCCACCCTGATACACTAACTTTGTGTTCACCAAAGACTGAGTTATATGTAGCCAGAGACAATTAAACTTAATGCTTTCATGCTACATTTATTCTGTAATATTTAATGTTAACTTGTTAAACAACTGCTTGCTTTTGTAACCCAGCCAGAACATCTAAACTACAGAAACAGTTTTACCACTGATTCTTTTACAGAGCCAAGGCTATTTAGAAGACATGTGTGCTTGTATATTCCATTGTGAGTGTCACTAAACGTAGAAACTTGAATGTATTAAAAATTAAAATGTTATTAAATAGTGAAACTCTAAAAATGCTAGAAGTTCCCCTTCCGACACCATTCTTTGTGGAATGCAATAGGAGTGCCCAAGTAGAAGCAAAGTCACTCTTCCTTTGTATTTCATTACTATTATCTTACCACAAACACATTTGACTTTCATGAGAGAGAATTTCACAACGTCTTTCCAATAGACAGCTGTACGTCAAGGAGCAATGACACAACAATGGAGAAGATAAAGGTGTGTACACTGCAAGGGCTTCGGATACCCACACGGAGCCACGTTGGCAGCTTCCCCCCCCCCCCCCCGGGATGTTCCAGAAGGTACCCTTTTGCCTTTCCAAGAGTTTATCAGAATCAGCTGAAATTGAGAGATCTGATTTTTTAATCTCACTGAAAAAGAAAAGTAGCTGTGTTCACACAAAAGAAAGCACTGATGTATATGCTGAACTGCATTGCCACAACCTCTGTCTAGGCTGTTTAATACACTAAGGTTGGTGGTGTGTAGAGGCTGAAATCCTGAAGCAAATTATCAGTCTGTGACCAGATCTCCCCTTTATGGGACACTTTCCCTCTTTCCTCTCCCACAGATGCACAAAGAATTGATGAACGTAAGGGCTTTTCAGCCTGGTAGAAGCATGCTCCCTGAATTTGAATCTCTGATTGCTATCACTTCCTAGCTTTGTGACCTCGGACGGGTTTACTTAACCTCACAATGTCTGGGTTTCATCGTCTGTAAAATGTGAATGATAATTTCTCATCCCTCAGAGTTATTCTCTGTATCCATGTAAGCTGCATGCAGCTAACTATTAGTTACTATTATTGGTCTCTAGTTTATAGTTAATCAACGGTATGTTAATTGTTGAGCCATGTATAATGTTTAATTGAAGGCAGTTAGTCTTGTGCTTTAATTCTTCCTTTTTAATTTAACTTAAATTCATCATCAACTGGGAACATAGCTTTAATTTTAATGTTTATTTGATGTGTGTGTGTGTGTGTTTGTGCATGTGCACGTGTGTGTGTATGTTTCCAAGTTCCTTTTAAAAGCTTCAAGGGAACCAAAGTACCACTTCTAGCTAAATAGCATGCCAGTTGAGAAATGAAATCTCTCCCTTTCCCCCATCCTCCCTTAAGTATTCTAGCTGGGCTCCAGTTGTAAACAATTCTAGTCCCTTGTTTTAAGTACCTTGGTATAGCATGTTTATCAGATTTTTTCAAGTCAAACACACGTGTTTGGACATCTAGACCACTCTTTCTAGTTTATATTTTTTATTTAATTAATTTTTACTAATCCAACTGTATTTATTTGAACGATTAATCATGATATTTCTTCTTAGGTTCCTTTACAGCTCGTGTCGTGACTTCTGGTATAATGCCTTTTGAATATGGCCCATAAAGCATACCATCCTTCACTCAGAAAGAACATTGAGAGTTGACGTGCTGTCATCATTAATTACAAATTAAAATGCCTTCCATGTCCCCATTCTGATCACTCTCACTAATGTTCCTCTTGGAGTGAATGTCCACTGATTGGCTCAATTTAGAAATCAATTTCATTGCTGGTTTCTACTACCAGTCAGCAGTGTGCAGTTATTTTGATTCATATATGGGGTGTCCAGTTTGTCTGGAACAGTTCTGGTTTACATCTGTCAGCTCGGTGTTTTCACAGCGCTCACTTTGTTTCCCCAAAGTGTCAGGTTTGGGTATTAAATTATATGGCTACCTGAACCCTCTAATCATCTGGGAAGTATCTCTTGCCTCAGACTTCCCTTGCTCATCTGCCATGTGACTGTTAAATTCCTCTGTATAACCCTTTTTCCAGAATAGGACTGATCAGTTCTGGAGGCCTAATACACATATCTGTATAACTACATAATACACATATTTAAAATATTAAAATTTACATTTAATTTGCTTATAAATATTCCTTTTTTCAACTTCTTTCAAAATGTTTCTCCTGGGATCTTCTGTAAATTCGGATTTTAATTACTGTTACACAATATAAAAATGAAAATATTCTAGTCTTAATTTTGATTGAAGCTCTAAGGCAAAGGGTGCCAACTACCCCAGATTCCAAAGCAAGAGTTGCCAGATGCCCTGTGCTGGATTTGAACACAGTCTCTTTAAACCATGTGGATTATAAAAGAGTTAAAGTCCAAGAAGCTGAGAGAGGTAGGACATTGGAGTCGAGAGAGTTTTTGGTGTGCTCTGGATGTGCAGGTAGAGGATGTGTGTGTGTGTGTGTGTGTGTGTGTGTGTGTGTGTGTGTGTGTGAGGTTATGTACTGTCTCCTCACTTCAGCTCCAGTGAGGGGTGCTGCTGCTTCATGGAAACCGTTGCTATGTTCCCCTGGAATTAGGGTGATGTAATAGATTGCTTTTTAATTCACAGCAGAAAAATATACAATGCAAGAGGCTGGGTGTAGATCTGTCTCCCCGAGGGTTGAAAGAAAAGGCTGAACTTGGCAGGCAACTGCACTGCCACCTGTGACAGGTAGAAGGGCTGGGTTTTCTATGCACTATGTATGGGGGGAATGAGCACACAGAGCAGATGTGTTTGCTTAGATCCTAACCAGAAGGGCTTGGTGGAGAAACTTTGAATGCCCTGTAGACAGTCTGCGGAGGGCACAGGGCTGCGGCTATGTGATTGTGGGGTTGTGCTCTGCAGAAAAGCGCCCAGTTGAAGGGTGAGAAAGAACTGCTTGCCTAGCGCTTATGTGCAGGGCTGCATCAACCTGGTGGGAGGGTGCTTTCTGCAATTCAGCAGTCTGGAGGAGGCACCTTTGCCTAATTCATATACAAGGGGCTGGGCGAAATCTGAAGGTGATGTACAGACACCCAGGGGCTTTAAGTAGGGTAGTAAGTGTCCAGTCACGAAAGCCTCACCAGAATCAGGTCACACTCTGCAATGAGAAATCCCCCCAGAGCCCAAGGGTCTTCAAAGAACTGATTAAAATGGGATTAGAAAAGACAGCTTTAGGGCTTCCCTGGTGGCTCAGTGGTTAAGAATACGCCTGCCAATGTAAGGGACATGGGTTCGAGCCCTGGTCTGGGAAGATCCCACATGCCGCGGAGCAACTAAGCCCGTGCGCCACAACTACTGAGCCTGCGCTCTAGAGCCCATGAGCCACAACTGCTGAGCCCACGCGCCGCAACTCCTGAAGCCCGGGTGCCTAGAGCCCGAGCTCTGCAACAAGAGAAGCCACTGCAGTGAGAAGCCCGTGCACTGCAGCGAAGAGTAGCCCCCGCTTGCCGCAACTAGAGAAAGCCCGCATCCAGCAACGAAGACCCAACGCAGCCATAAATAAACAAATAAATAAAAGAAAGAAAAGACAGCTTTGAACACTTACTAAACCCAGGAAAAAGCAGTGCTAAATGAGCGCTGGTCAAATAGGACTTTTCTTGTCCTGCCGTGTCTTCTATCTCTGACCTGTTGGACTCATATCCTAATTGAGGTGGAGGGAGGCTGAGGATGCCGAGCTGGCTGAGCAGACAAGAGACAGCCTGCCAGGTCCCACTGCAGGCTTCCCTCCTGCCCCTCTCCAGTGCTGGAGGAGGGGAGAAACTTTAACTCAGATGGACATTGGAATTTTGATCATGACGTGGAACCTAATTCTATGTGAGTTTAGTGGGGTTTGTTTTGTTTTGCTTTTGTTTTTTCTTTTGGTACTAAAGAGAAGGAAGGAATTTTTATCTGGGAACAATCTAAAAGTCAAAGCTCTGGCTTTCAATGACATCCAAGGGGATAGAGACGAACATGCTCCATAGGCAAGAAAGGCAAGGGCAGTGGTGAGAAAAGAATAAAATTGTTTTTGTGGTGCATGATGAAACTCACTTGTTAGGTATATAAATGATACGATCAGTACTCTGGATTCTTTTGCATTTCCCCCTGATTTTCACAAGGAAAAAAAAAAAAATCCTTGGATGTTTATTATGTGTTTCATTTTTGTCCTGCATATTGTATAGTTAATAGCTGAATTAAGGTTCTAAACTTGAATGTTCAAATATTAAAATACCCATCAACCACAAGTAGCTTCTTTGGAAGTTTTTAATTTTTAATTATTAGAATACATATTAATAAAAATAAAGTAAATTTTAAAACAAAAATAAATATTAAAAATAGTAGATTCTTTGAAGATACTCATCACAAGAAATTCAAATACTTGTTTCTTTGTCTTCCTTATTAAATTGG